AGTGGGGAGTATTGTTTAAAATAAGGATAGTTTAGATCCCTGATAGTCAATGGGGACAAATAGATCTGTATCTGTCTCTGACTGGGGAAGAAATGTGGGCTCCCAACTTAGTCACTTCTTTTATGTGTCTGTAGTTAAGTGGAATAAATGCTGGCATGAGCTTTTTTTTAGGTTAATATTAAGCAAAGCACAACTTTTTCACCTTCAGTTCTATCCTTCAAAGCGTTTTCCTCACATGTAAGGTACTGACGTAAGTTAATTCTGACAGCTCCATGATCTGCAGGTAACATTGTCAAGCAAGACAAATTTCCCATTTCTTTCTCATTAGTGATTCTTCTGATAGAAAATAAAAGGTATAATGTCAAATACCTGAATCATTTTGGAAAGTGGCAAGTTTACTGTCAGTTGGAACGATGCTACTTTTTGCATTAAATATATGTAATATTTATTTTACCTTCATATGACAGTTTAATCTTTTACTTTAAGTTGGAAAATGTTGCTTCTGAGTAAATCTCTGGTGTTCCCATTTAAACCAAAGTGTCATCATACCATGTTCTCAACAAAATGCCATTACTTTATTTTTATTAAACATGAAGACCATTTCCTAATGCATTTAGTAATTCTTTTGTTATTAAGTGAAACCAAGTTGCACAAGCTATTACCTAGTTTTGATCACAGAAAAGATACCATGCAATCCTGAGATGAGATAGGCGCCCAAGTATTAGTATAACTCAGTCATTCCTTTTGACATCCTGTCCATAAGAATACTTTATAGTGGATTATGCTTTAGAATTTCAATGAGCAGCTGCTATTTTAAGGAGCTTTCTTGTCATAAAACATTATGGGGGATTATGGAATCCTGTGGCTGATTCAGCTTATTAATTCAAATAAGATCTATTTCATTACAGGTTTATGATGTGCATCGTTAAGGCTGCTTGTATCCTAATAATATGGTTGAAGACCAGCATTGCATAAGACAGTGTAATATGGTATCGTATTTCCAAGCCATCTACCGCACTGTTGTCTGGAAGTCTTGATTGTCAGCCATCCTCCAGGAGCCCGTGGGAAATGACGTACTAAATTCTTTCCATATCCTACTGGGCAGATGGCAGCAGTACCATTATCGTCAGCACTGGCACTCATTCAGTTGTCAAGGTGCAGACACAAAAGACCAAATGGCAACATACACTGAAGGCTTGGAGGTCAGGCCCCACTGGACAGCACTGTCTGGGCAGGGAGGGGAGCAGATGTTGCTGCTATGGTGTAGCAGTACAGCTATTACTTACCTCCTTTCAGTTTCAGAGAGGAGAACTCTTTTATCAGCTCTCTAAACCAGCCTCTCTCACAAGCATTTGAAGTTGGAAAAAGTTAATCGTTAAATAGGTTGTCTGTAAGAGGGTTTTTGAGGATATCTGAGTGTCACAGAAACACTTTTCCCTGATAGATTGATCCTGAGCAATATCTTCCCTTTTCCCACTTCGTAAGTGTACTCTTAATAATCCTAAGCAGGAACAGCTGGTTTCATGAACATAACATCTGTGTGTCAGTACAGCCATAGCCCTCAGGTAAGCTGCCCCTACTCTGGCGTTATGTTTGGGAGATAAAACAGGCTCATTCCCTTCCTGCCACTAGGTCCTACAGGTACATAATTAACTTCTTGCCTATATCAGTGATACATTTATTACTCTCCGGTCTTGTTCTGCTATTTGGGTTATTGTTTAAAATAAAAAGCAAAACTCCACCTGTCCACTGCTCCAGGGGAGACATGAATGAAATGAATGTTATGAGTCTGAGACAAGGAGCCCTCATGGGGCTGTAACAGAGATTCTTACTGCTTATGCCCTTGTACAGGCATATAAACTGAGCCATAACCTATCATTAGGTAGGTGTTCTTGGAAATTAGATTAATCTGGATACTGGAAACGTTTAGGTATATATTCTTTCTATATGTTTTCTTTCAAATGGATCAGCAGATTTATTTATTAGGCCTGTATTTTGAGGACAGTGTTATGATTTTATTAATTTTGCTGTTTCTCTCTGGCTTAGAGATTAAGAGATATGAAGTCTATTAATGTGTGCTTTTCTGTTGTATAAGGCAGTAAACTCCTTTTTGAAACACCTTCACTCATTCAAACATGAGTGAAAGACACATATGGAGAGGTCTTTCAGGGTTAGAGGTCTTTGAACTCATTAACATTAGACATCATTCATTTTTATGACACTTCTCACAATGAATTCAGGATAGTACAACTGTGATGTTTGCACCATACATTAATATAATACTTTCATAAAGTCCTACCCTTTGGAAGAGGGATTTTAAAGTAGATCAAAAGGCTGAATTATGTGTTTCATGGTATAGCCTGCACAGGACTGAAGGCAGCCCTGGTATCTATGGGAGCATTGTGCAGTGGATAACTGCTATTGCACTATGTAATGCAGACAAAAATAATGGAGGGGTGGCAGTCCGTAGGGCATCCTTCTCTTGGTAAATCTATGGCTGTCCTTGGCCTTGCTGAAGGATTAAATAAAGTCATTCTTGTATTCTTTAGCTATAATTTAAGTTGTTTTAAAGATAAAACCATGCAACACACTGGACACAGCATTTGTTACCAAGCTTTTCTCAGTCTAGCAGGAATTCAAAGATACTTGCAGTCTTCAGGAGGGAAAAAAACCCACAAACAAACAAAAAATTCACAAAAAAAAAAAAAACCACCAGCTTTTCTATTGTTTTTTAATCTTGCTGAATACCTTTCCCTGGTTCCTTAAAAGGAGTGAAAATGTTGTAGTGGCCAACCTGAGACTATTGATTTCATTTTTAGAAAGTATGTACATTGTTCTTTAATTATTAGAAAGTATACACACCATTCTTCTCCACATAAGACCTTTTCCAGGTGTTTGAAAAGGGGGATTAAACAAGTGAGGCCCCTGTAATCTGCAATCACTTTTGTGAATCTTGGCCATTGTACATCATATAGATCTGAGCAATGAATTGGGAATGTAAATGTAGCTCTAAATGATTAAGAAATATTTTTTACATTGCAGCTGAGGGAATTAAATAGTGCAAACACTATACTTCATCTTCTTCAATTCTGTTTCTTTAATTCTTGCATATTCCTGGAAAGTATCTTGCTTTACCAAATAGGCCATAGGAAGCACATACATATCCAGAGGCAAATTAAAATCTATAGCCTGACAGCGTGCTACATCCCAGATGACATTTGTTCCTGCAAAACCTTGATGTCTTTAGCTCCAGGGAATACTTTTTCAATGTGGTTTTAATTTGCTACAATTGACAGATTGTGAATTATTTTCTGAAGCAGTTCTGTAACGTAGACAAAGCATGCCTTCTGTTGGCTGTTACAGAATGAATACCTGTATGAAGGTGTTGATGCAAGAGTTATAGAATATGAGGACAACAGGCCCCTCCTGGATATGTTCCTGCAGAAACCAATGGGTTTATTGTCCCTGCTGGATGAGGAAAGTCGATTCCCACAAGCAACAGATCAGACACTTGTAGGTAAGTTCGTGATTTATTTCCTAGTTTTGCAGGATGTCTCCCTGCTAGATTTCTGTTTGATGTGTCTAGTTTAGGCTTTATGCTAGTTATGTTTTTAGCAAGCCCACATTCCAGTTTCATAGTATGTTTGAGGGAGGCATGCATGCATGCATGGATGTGTCTTTGAAGCAGACAGAGAAACATCCAGAGTACAAATGAAGGCTGCTGATCAAGGTTTTGAATTCTCCTGCCCTTAAGAATTCTTAGCTGTAGGGACTGAAAGATAAAGATCAAACTGAGCTAAAACTCTAGGGTCATATGCCAAGATCACTGTTTTTATGCAGAAATTAAAATTAAAACACCTAAATATGTTGTAATTCAGATCCTGAATGTTTCAGTGCTGCTGAGAAGTCGATGTAGTTGTTTTAGTGGGGTTCCTGTGCACATAAATCCTTGGTTTACTCATTTTTGAATGTGCATAGTGTCAGATGAGAGTTTTAACCAACTCCCAGTCACAGAACCTAATAACGTCTAGTAACGATGCCCGTACTAAAGCAGTTATATGGGCTTGTTATCTTTCTATCCTCATACATTTTAGTCTACATTACAGATCAATCGATTCGTAAATGTTTCCTTACAATTCCCCAAGGAATCCTTAGGAAGAATTACTACATTGTTTCAACTGGTACAAAGTAAGTAACTGATCCAAGAGCTCCCATGGTACAAAGTAACTAACTGATCCAAGAGCTCCCATGTTCTCTACCCAGTGCCTTTTGTTACAAGACCATTATGGTACCTTTGTGCTTAAAAACATCAGAGACTGTTTTGTGCCTCCTCGTTGTCTGAGAAGTCAGGATATATCCTTAGAGAGATACAGCTTTAGAAGAAAATTTTTGTGCAGTAACTCCTGTAAGATATGTGTTTTCTTTCAGAAAAATTTGAAGACAATTTGAAGTCAAAATATTTTTGGAGACCCAAAAGAGTAGATCTAACCTTTGGGATTTATCATTATGCAGGAAAGGTAAGAGAACTAATTATGTTAGATGGGGATTGTGAAATGGTAGGGCTGATAGGAAATAGAAGTTGTCATCTGGGTTGGTTCTCAACCTTCATCTATTCAGACCTGACATGGAAATGTTGGCAGTGTCTTACATATTAAAAGTAAATTGAAAAGTTATTTTCCCTCATAAAAAGAAGTAATAGCAGGGGCGTAATTTTCTTAAATGTCACCAGTTAAATGACTATATTATAGAAGAACCAAAACACAACCATTATGCAACTCAGTGCTCTGCTCCTTAGTTCCTCAAAGTCCTGTGCACACTTTTTCCCACTGCTTCGAATCAGGATCCAGCTTCATTCTTTCTACTACCCCATCAGCCTTACTTAGTTTTGTACTTTGCAATCAGCCAGATAGATAGCTCAGACCCTGCTTTCTGCTTAATTTCATGAGGAGCATCTTGCCCTCCTGTACAAGCTGACTTGCTGCACATGCTTTTCAGACTCAGGAGGAGTTGTTGTTGCTCTGCAGCAAGATACCACTGGTCACCTGAACCTTGCCTTGTGAAAGCAAGAGCTCCCCCCTCTTCTTGAGCTCTTTCAAAGGGTGAGCTTTGCTGTCTCATAGGAAACAGTGCTGGAGCAGCTGGCCTAGAAAGAGGCAACATACTGCCCATCAGCTGATGAAAGATAACTTGCTCCTTCTGTAGGACAGCCAGCTACAAAAGGCCTGCAGTAGCTCCTCTGAACTTCATCTCCAGCTGAATTACTCATCACCAGCATAGCATACTTACTGCCGAGGAGCAGAGAGCCAGCTCTTCCTGTACCAGTCCTCATACAGGAAGATTCCACCTGTGCCCCATCAGACCTTTCTAGTGTACAACAGTGTTTTTCATTAGGAAGTTTCTCCTGCTGTCTACCTTGTATCTCCGTTTCTGTGATGTAAGTTCATTACTCCTAGTCCTGTTTACTGTGGAACTGGAGAACCATTTATTTCCTCTTCCTTTACAAACCTTGCTGTTTTGTGAGGTTTTTTGTGAGCAAGAGTGAGCCTGATGGCCGAAAAACTGTTTGTGTGTCTTGATTCATTCAGAGAATATGAAAATATTAAAAGAATATTAAAAATTCAAATAGTATTGAAAGCCACATTCCATTAAGCATGCTGAGTGCTTAAATTTACAATTACTTTTCAAAAGCCCGGAAGATGCATAAATGCACTTTTTAAACAGGTTCTATATAATGCAAGTGGATTCCTAGCCAAAAATAGAGATACTCTGCCAGCTGATATTGTGCTGCTACTGCGATCATCTGAAAACAACCTGACGCGACAGCTGGTAACCCATCCTCTTACAAAAACAGGTATTGCTATTGGGGTAATCTTCTTGTTCTTCTCTAACCTTCATGATGATCACCACTAGGTTTCATATGACCACTTGTTGATGACATTATACACTTTGTGGCTTAACTTTCCAACCCTAGAATCTATACAGAATGGAGCCCCAGCCACCTCAAGCTGCAGGGGAGGGATTGGTCTGGTCAAATGCCAAGGAAGTGGTAGAGGCTTCTTTCAGGGTCCTCTCTTCAGGGTAGGGAAGCAAGACAGGGAATCGAGTGCATCCCTTGAGTTGAGGACTGATCAGAAAGGATCAGGTAAGTCACTGGCCATTTTTGGGCAGGGCATATATAAATTGCCTGGTTTGTCTCAGAGCGATTTTTCTCTAAGTAGTAGAGAACCAAGGTTGTGGTTCCTAATATCTGCTGCAGAGTGAGGAGACAATCCTCTATGTCCCCAGTGGTTTAGGCTTTTACAATAGCTTATCCAATGTGGTCCTAGTGGTGAGCAATTCCTCAAGGGGTTCATAAACTGAGGTGGAGGAATATGACTGGCTCTGCAGAAATTACTCCTAAGTTGCACCTAAGTTGAATCAAGTCCTTGCACAGTGTCCTACCTGCCATTTTAGGATGATGGATAAGTCTCCTTACAACCAGTTTGCTGTTGTTTCGTATTACTCCCTTTGTGATGGCACTGATGCCATACAATAAGTACTTTACAACATTACTTTCTTGTACAACTACATGGGAGATGTACTTGCAGCAGAACAGAAAAGCTGAATTGGAAAAGCCTAATGGAAATTTCTCTAAAATGTTATTGTAGCTTTCAGAATCTGAGGGTTTGGGAATGCTCATATTCTTCACAAAGGGAGCTTTGCTGGTGGAATGAAAATTTGGTCTTGAAAGTCTACTTAAAGTTAGTGTTCCTGGGAAAACACTAAACTCAGTGTCCTTGCCTGAACTTTTTGACTTACTGATATCTGCTAGGATACTACTTTCTGTAGAGCCAAAGTCAGGGCTTAAATGGTCCCAAGAACTGATCCCAAGTCTTATGTTATGTTTTGTAAGATAACTTGGTAGGTTGTTTTAGTCTTCTTCTTAAGTATCATGAAACACTGCCTTTCAAAACTGACCCAAACCATCCATGTATAACCAACTAAAAGTTAGATTTCTGATCTAACTTTTTCATCTACAATCAGTGGAAATTTAGAGGTTCATCCAGAATCCAACCCATCTCGCCTGCCTCAGGGATTTTTCTTAGGATGGGATAAATCTCTGGAGGTGCCTCTCTCCACTGAATACAACAGAGATCCTGTAGACACCTCACTTTCCGATAGCTAAAGTTAGGTGTGAATAATCCTCTCTTTTTTTCCCACCCTGAGATATTCACCTAAGCCCAAGGGAAGTTTAGCACTCGATATCGTTATATAATATATGACGCATTAGCCCCGCATGGTGTATATTTGCAGCTGTTTATCCAACTGTTATCCAGCTCTTAGTGATAGTAGCTGAGCTCAGACAGATTACAGAGGACAGTAAGCTTTCAGCGGTGTTATGTTATTAGCAGGAGCAGTGGCAGCGTGCAGCACTTGTTGGGGTTTATCAACACAGAGTGACATGATGGAAAGCTCAGCAGAATTTTCATTATTCCTTTAGACCAGTGTCTGTGTAAACCACTCCAATGCACCTAGTCCTCTACGTCATCATAATAAAGGTATTACTTGATTAAGAATTCCAAGGTTAGAGTCATAAGACTAGGTCCATGCTAATAAACCAAACAGGGCAAGGGAAACAATCACACAGGATTGCCCATTCTGACTATTTGATAGCATTCCTTCCTGGGACAGTTTTGGCACACTTCAAGAGAAGACACAGACTAGTAATGATTTCCGACAAGCTCTGTGGAAATACAGAACCTTATTTTTACCAGGAGGTTAGAGGATTATAAAGTATAGACTTTAGTTGTATAAACTTGAGTTGTGACATGTCACTTGCCCTCAGGGCCAGAGAAGGGTGCTACTGCTTATTTTTGCTTTTAACTAATGTACATGCAACCTTAGAACTAGAATAGTACAGTAACATTGTTAGGGTAAAACCACATGGATGCCCTAAGGTGTATCTTTCTTACCTTCTGCAGCAGTTTGTTTATTTATTTTTTTACTCTAGTAGGTGACATAAGTGCTGAAGCAGGAAAATTCAGCCCATGTTCCATCTTTATGCAACTTCTTCAAAGCTTTTTCCACCCTAAGGGTGAAAGGGGAAATGAGGACATACTCCAGAAAAGTCAACGACCTTTATAAGCGTATGGTTACACTGGGGGCATGAATAAAGTGGTTCAGCATAGATTTTTGTTTAGCTGACATGTAAGCATTTTGGTAGGTTGCTTACTTTCATTTTCCCATAGGTAACCTGGCACACACGAAAAGCAAAACTACAATCAGTTACCAAATGTGGACCCCCCAGAAATCAATGAGTCATACAAAGGTAAGAAAATGGGTTTTATGATTCTGCATTAAACACTAGTTTAAACTAGAAAGGCAATACTGTTATTGGTACTAAAAGTAAGCAAGTAACCCCTTCCTTGATTTTTCTCCCTCCTCTATTTTCTTTTCTGTTTAGCTGGATATCTTTGTGTTGTGCAATTCATATTCCTTCCGTGAGGTAAAAAACTAACATTTCCCTTCTTTTTGGCTATAGTTTTGTGATAACCTCAAGGGGAAAAAAAATAAATTATTTCCCAGCTGTATTGTAGCAGAATGAAAAAGTGAAACATTGGTGTGGAGTATAGTCAAGTTCCTTAGAGAACTACCAAAATAACAGGGATGATGAAATAACAGATGGGACCTCAAACACTGTCAGGTTATTTGTGGCAGTTATTTAGATGCTGTGTTATCAAATTGTGTCCTCTGTGTGTGACCATTCGTGTATTATATAGCAAAGTAATGTAATGTACTGGTGTAACTGATTTGTGCTAGTTATGCTGTAACTTTTTCTGTTTAGAATACTTTTTTTTTAGTATTAATTGTGTTCTGTGAGGGGTGCTTCGTTGTGGCATTGGAAAGGGCCCTACAGACTCAACAGAGATAAAAAGTGTCATTTTTTTCTTCATCTTTATAGAACGAAGCAGGAGATACTGGGCATCATCCAAGAGAGACAACCAGCATGAAAACACAGACAGTTGCTTCTTATTTCAGAGTAAGATACTAGATCTTCTAGTAAGTTTTTCTAGAGTAGGATGAATGTTTATTCGTTCACCTTTTGAAATGCACCTGTTGACTTAGTGTCAACAGTGATCCATTTAGAGTTTGTGAAGTGCATATATGGCACAGTGGTCTGTGCAGTGCAAATATCTAGAGATTGTGATGTTTCATCTTCAATTGTACTTGATTACACAGCCACATTTCTGTCATGATGATGTATGATGATTGATATTAATCTCCCACTTGCTTGTTTTTCCACCAAGGGAGATAAAGGGAGGTTGGACATTAGTGGTATAGCATTTCTTTAAGAAGCAAGAGAGGAAAGTTAATTTGAATCAGGAGCTCCAAAGAAAGATCTTCATGGTGACTGCTCAGAAGCTGTCCTGAGTCCATCCTTGAGGTTCCTTCAGCAATGCTCTTGACTTTCCCAAGCACTGGATATGCTGCTGGTCCTGAAATAGATAGTAGTTGTGAAGAGCACTTTCCTCCAGTGGTACACTTGGGCTCAGCTCTGAATTTCCAACTCTTGTTTAGTTATCTCTCCCAGCAAAAACATAAAGATGGCTGAGGTGATGTTCATGACCTGTAAGAGTTCATTTACATCTATGACAGAGAACAGTAAGGAGCAAGATCTCTGATTAGTAGGTACAGTTACACAGCTTTGTGGACTGCAAAGGATAATTTCAGCCTAGGTAGTATTACGGTGGCCCAAAGCTGCATGGTATTTTAAAGTTCTAGATGGAAAAATTTATTGAATCTCACTCAAACGTAATGTCTGTGATTCAGTATATTACCAGCACATCTAGCATCAGAGGCTGCAAATGAGTTAATTATATTTACACTTTTCTGTTACTGTTTTCTGTATTGGAAATCCCTTTTCACATCATGCTACCTAATGCTTTTAAATGAAGATTCTGCTTCAGCCCAACTGGTTTACTCATACACAGAAATCTGTGGGTGATTGAGAAAAGCATCTACCAACTCCTACTGAGCAGGAAAAAAAAAATCCATTAGTGTGTCCCACTTGTTTGTGTTCAATTGGCACACTAGTGATGGAGCTAATTAAGCACTTTGCTGCATGGTGTGGCATCTGTCCGGAATGGAATTGCACGTTTTAATAGGAAACATATGGCTATTGACATCATAGACTAGTTTCATATATCCAGCCTACTGCTGAACTGCATTACCTCCTGGCAGCCTCTTTCTGTTGAGTCAGGTTGAATCTTGAGGAATGAGCCTCTTCATTTGTGTCTTAATAAGATCCTCCCATGAAGCAATTTTACAAAACACCAGTCAAGGTTGTTTACAGCCAGATTCACCTCAGTTGGCATGGGGAGCTACAAACTACATCCTCTCTGCCTGCCTGGTACCCTGGTGGGATAGAAAAAGTGTACGTTTAGTTTTGCCCTCCTCAAAAGTTTCCTCTTGGGAGGGCATCTATGGTACAATGACCAGGAAGTGCTAGATCAGAGCAGTTTAAGCGGCCCCTCTTCTGGGGTGGCCTTAGTTTCTTCCAGTCTAACAAAGGGATGTCAGTATCTATTGTCTTACTGCTCTTCCACTTCCCATTCATAGACTGTAAATTTCTCTCTGGGTGAATAAGGATCTTCAAATAGGTGGCAATAGGAAAAAGAAATGGGCTGTAACTACCTAACAAGGCTCCAAAAGAAACAAATCACTGTAAGGAGAGTTTTTATCATATGTTAGATATTATGGCAGTCTGTTAGAATGTTCTTGGTGGAATTTCGCACATCCTTTTGGAATCAGTGTTTCTCTCAAGTCATATATGCTAGTAACTTAGAGATCTTATCAAAGCCAGAATCGTTGTTGGGTCGTTTACTTCATCTACCCTTAAAGTACCAGCTTACTGAATTTTAAATGGGTTTGATCATGATTCTAATCATTTGAAATAAAGTTTCAGCTACACATTGACCTATATAAAAGTTTTGTAACTGGTGGCAGGTATCTTGTTACTTTCTTGCAGTATTCTCTGATGGATTTGTTATCCAAAATGGTTGTCGGGCAGCCTCATTTTGTCAGGTGCATCAAGCCAAACAACGACCGGCAGGCAAACAAGTTTGATAAAGAAAAAGTGTTGGTTCAGCTGCGTTACACAGGAATTCTGGAGACAGCAAGAATTCGAAGACAGGGTTACTCACACCGTATACTGTTCGCTAACTTCATAAAACGGTAACGTAAGAAGCCTTTTTCTTTCTTATCATTGCTGCCCAGTGTTTGCTAAGCATCAGCAGTATCTTTGGCATGGTCTTTAAAGATAAAATACAAAGCTATTTTCTGTGATAAAGAAGATTACAGACTGAACGACAAAGAATAGTTCAGGCCCAAGGTTAGTGACCTGTTTTGGACTGGTAGGGGAAGATGATGGATCTCAGAATGACTGTTTCAGTCTCCCTGCACATTTGAGTAATAATTGTCTTATTTGTAATCTGCAAGTTTTCCTCAGAAACTTGAGGTTTAGAAATTTAATGCTTCAAATTAAAGCTGAGAATTCAGAGCATTAGCATCCACGGGGCACCACAGTTTCTCTAGCCCCTGACATTCAGCACTGTGCAGGGTGGATGATAATTTGGTATTGCTCATCTAGAGCTAAGAAGTTCATTAAGTACATACTTTTGTTTAAAATACAATATCTAAGTATTAGTCACTTGTTAAGAAGAAAAGTAATGAACTCACTATGATTTTATAAATACTTCAACTATCTCTTTTTCTACCACCCCAAAAAATTAATCCTGACCATTTAATCTATACTTTTCTCTCACAAATAAAGACCCTGAGTATTTGCCTCAATCAGAACTGAAATTTGTGGAACAGACATCAAAACTGGGAAAAAGCAAGCAGCACCCGCTCAGACAGAAGCAGTTAGAAGTAGTAGTGCACTGGAAATAAAGAGCTAGCATCAGAGTGCTGCAGGTGCACAAGGAAAGAGAGGAAGGTCAAAGTGATATTTTATAGCACTGTTTCTGGAAAGAATAAACCTGGGATTGTTACTGTTTTGGAAGAGTGCTGCATGGGAAAAGGCAGTTATCACTGCACCAAGATGTGCTGTGGCTTTTAGTCACTCCTTTTTATTAAAAAAATTTACTGTTCAGGTAAAAGAGAGGAAGGCTGTGAACATAACAGGGTAGCTCTCCAGAGAGCATGCCCCTGGTTGCAGTGAGGCTGTGCAGATCAACAGCACTGAGGATATGGCCCCCAGATAAAAAGGAGTTTTTATTAAGTATCTATCTCCTTGTCCTTTTTTCATTTTTCCTTAACAGTTGAGAGTTACAGGTAGACGTGGGATAATGGCAAAATTATTTTGTTTGAATAAAAATAAGCCAATTCATTGTGTAATGGAAAAAAAAAAGAGAGCTGTAAGAATTGGTAATAATGCAGGAATCAACATTGTCTCTTTTTTTATTATTCCATGAGAAAATTTTTACCATTGTGTAAAGCTGGTGCAACACAAGCTTTGTGTATAAAGGCTGAATAACAAGAAAAAAAGCATAATGTACTGTCAGGAAGCACACATAATTTATGTAATTTTCCTGAATTAAAAAAGCCAAGATAGGTACCATTCATTTTGTTATGGAGCATTTGGGAAAGTCCTGGAACACAGAAGAACTTTCGTACCCAGCAGCTGAGTTGATAAACCATGGGTAATTTTTATTCTTGAACCTCTTTTCCTAGTCAAAATTAATTCTGAGTTATGAGTTTGCCATGTTAGATGTTTATATATGAAGTGGCATAATGGCACATATATGTTCCAAAAGGATCTGCAAAACTAAATCCAAAGAGGTAAGAAAAGCTGGGATGCATCTCATCTCATGTTAACTATCTCAGAGGTAGATGGTCTAGCACATGAGATAACATACGAAATTTTCATTACATTTGTAGATATGAATAAGATAATTTAGAAAAAAAAGCTTTAAAAATATTTTTATTTTGCCACTGAAATCACTTTCACAGAATGCTGGGAGCCAGAGCAGCATAGAAGTGGTGTGCTCTACTTGGGGTGAACACTTTTTAAAAGCCTTCTGGTGTTGATACAGAATTAATCAACTCTCCAGGATGTGCAATATGTCATTCAGCCAGTTTTGACTGAGTTTCTCAGTACTGCATATAAAACACAGCAATTTCTTTCATGTGCTGTTTTCTTTTTTTTCAGTATTCTTTCATGCAACTGTTTTATTATTTAAATAAATGGTTTAAATGTATTTGCAACTATTGCTCACTATTAATGGAATAAAGAATCGTATATTTGTCTTTAGGTATTACCTCATCTGTTACAAAACAAATGATGATCCTCCAGTCAGCCCAGAAACCTGTGCTGCCATCTTGGAAAAAGCCCGCCTTGACAACTGGGTTCTTGGAAAAACTAAAGTAATTTTCTAATATACTGTATCTGCATTATTGCTGTATGTCATTCTTAACTTATTAAGCAGTTTGGTTTCTTACCGATTTGGTTGGAGTTGCTCTTGGTCTCTACTGGTTTGAAAAAAAAAAATTACCTTTGCTGGATGCTGTTCCCCCATATTTGGCTAAAACCCTGACCTGTAAAGTGTTAAAATTCTGATGAGCTTTAGTGAGGCCACAGTGCAAAGCAGTATGTGATAACGACATTGATTACATTTTCTTTTAAAAAATACAGTAATAAGGATCCCAATGTGCTTAGTTAAAGCTTTCTTAAGGAAAAGAAATCATACTTCTTCCCTGGAGCAATGAGACCCACAAAGGGAGAGGAAAAGATTTTGGCTTTCCAGCCTGAGGCCTCTGTGGCAAACTCTCCTGAGCACTGGGGGAAGAGATAGCAGGATGATCCCATGTATGTGAACTGGGATAAGACTTCCTTGTAAGAGAAACACGTCTGTTTCCATACTTGCTTTTGGTTCCAAGTCACTAGTCTTCCCAGTGTGCAGATCTCAGGAGGTCTGGCAGAGAACAGAAGCATCAGACAAGTATTATACCAAGTCTTTTTATTTGCTAATGTAACAGAAGTGCCCAGGAAGTATATGAATAGACACATGGATCCTAAACTATTTGAAATCACCTCAGTGTAGAAGAAACAACTTTTCTCCTTCTGACACATCTTCCTGAATAGGTGGGACAGAAGCCATGAAGTTACCTCCTCCCCAGCCTTTATTTCCTTCTGCAATCTTAGTGAGGCTAATGGACAACATGCAGCCAAAGGAAGCATATCTTGAAATGTGAGATACATAGCTTGCGTTTACTTTGAGTAGGTTTAACCTTTACCTGTGCCAACAAGTGACCAAAGATCAGGTGAATTCTTCAAAATAAGCGTAATTATTGTCTTAATTGCACAAGCCCTTTCTACATATTTTATTTAATCATAATATATAGCAGGGATGTGTTTGTATCCATTGTGCTGGACTGGATTTTCAGGGGTTGTATGAGCTTCAGGCTTGATAAAAGCAATTTAGTAAATAAACAATTCCTTAGATTCAAAATTGGAAAGCAGAGAAGTTCAGATTTGAAGGTTCAGATTTGGATCATGTTTATGTAGCATACATCAGATTTGTACCGTTAGCAAAACTGCTAACATTATAGTTTTGAAAACAGATTCATAATTGCAGACTGAAGTTTGCAATGGTACTTTAAAACACCTTCCCATGAAAACATGAATAACCAGGGGCTGACAAAAGGCATTGAAAGTGAGAGTAAGGTAAACTAATACCCCAAATAATTAAAATGCTATCTTTAACAGGAATGATCCTTTAGGTACCACACACAGCTGAAGAGTCTGTTCATGATTTGAAACCAACTTGTAACTCTTGTTGATGTTTAACAGATTGAGTGAATACAGGGCCTGGGAGGGTAACTAAAACTTTTGCTTGTCTGCCTACTCTTTAAGGTATTCCTCAAATACTATCACGTGGAGCAGCTAAATTTAATGCGGAAGGAGACGGTCGACATGATTATTTTGATTCAAGCTTATGTCAGAGGGTGGCTGGGTTCAAGGAGATACAAAAAGATAAAGGAGCAAAGGGAAAAAAGTGCTATTAAAATACAATCAGGTAATAACTTTAAAACATTTAACATTTTGCTTAAAGCTAGTGCATGTGTATGGTTGATAGATGGTTGTGCATGCTGGATGTGGATTTGCCGTTTTCCTGCTGCTACATTTGACAAAATATCTTATACTTGGTGATATCTGTTCTCATGAAGAAAGATTTCTTTTAACCAGGTTGTGACAATTTCTTTGCTGAAGTTACATTTATCAATGTTACACTTAAAAGGCAATTCTAACAATGGAAGGACATGATTGCACAGATGATACTGTTATTAATAGTATTCTGACATGCTCTGACAAGGTTATATACTATAATAATGAAAATAAAATATATTAACTGTCCTAGATAATAAGAGCAATTACACTGTTAATGGAGACATCAACTGAAATTTTTAATACATTTCAAACATCATTTTATTTTACATTCTGATTCTCTTGTGTTCTGTATTCATTTCATTCATAATAACTTTTTTGGTGAGTAAACGTAGTTTTTATGTAGATTTACTGCTTGTTCTTGTTTGCCATTTATTTTTGAAATATAAAGCCTGAAAAATATGTATGAATATTTTAATGGAGGTCTGTTGCAGAATTTTTTATTCTTGTAGCTTTTTGTGTACCTAACGGGTTATTTAATTTTTGACATTTCTTTTCAGCTTACAGGGGTTTTGTTGCTCGTAAAGAATACAAAAATGCAAAACGTAGTAAGAAAGTGGAAGAGTATATTACTAGGCTTCAAGCAAGTAAGGATTGTTTGCTTTCTTGGCTTTTAATGTGCTGTTCATACAAAATATGTTGACCCAGATTCTTTGCTATTACCTAGCCACACTGATTGTCTGTGCTCATTTACACATTCTGAGGTATAATTTATCCATTATATATTTATATACAGTGATTGAAACCAATCAATATATTCTGTTACCTGTATCTCAAAGTGGCTTAAAGGCACTTTCCACAGCTGTGAAGTGGGCTGGTTAAATGCCATAGAGCAAGTCTTTTCACTCCTAGTCTGATATCTTTAAATGTTACATCTGGTATTGTTGAAGCTCCATACGACACTGTCTGCATATAGCCTGTGTATGCATGCTATTCTATCATGAATACGTTTTGTTATATACCAGTAATAGTTATGTTTGAGAAGACTACAACCTGTAATTTCACTCATGTCTCTTGATTCTTTTCTGCCATCGCTCAATGCAACCTAGCAGAATGTTCTTCCTCTTCTGCAGCAATAATAACCTTAATAAAATAATCAGATGTATGCTATGTGACATCCCTTTTTCCTCTCTGTGTTTCTGTCTCCCCCATCCCTGCAGAGATGCTCTGAAATCAGCAGCATTACATCTAGAGAGGCACTGGTCTGAAAACAGCTGGCACAACTCTGTGCAGTACTTCAGGAATTACAAAGGTGGCAATCCCAAATATAAGCTAGTACTGCCAGTACCCAGGCTATCTAGAGCTAAACTACCTCAGATATGCCTTCATGAGTATACACTAACACCAGTGGTGGTTTTAATCATTGCCAGATGCATCTGTTAATTGCACGGAGCCTATGTTAGCATTTGCTGAAGAGCACTTCACTGCAGTTGGTAGAACTTCATCAGTGTAGAAAACAATCTAAAACCAGAATAAAATCCAGTGATGTGCCCAAAATAATTACACATCTAGAAGTTGTTAATTATAGTAGGATATTTAACAAATGCAAAAGTGTGAATTTACCACTTTGCTCTGTTTGTTGATCACTCCAGTGCTTCTTGTCCACCTCCTCTGTCCTCTGTGCAGTTTCATTTCAACTTTTTGCAGTGCATGAGAAGCCAGAACAAAAAGGTTTTTTGGTTTTTGGGTGTTTCCCCCACCACATTTATTTCTAAAGCAATACAAAACTCCTCTTCCAGTCTGACAACAAAGCTTTGACGGGTATTGTCTCATAACAAAGTTCTCAGGGAAGTTCAAAGGTGAAACAGAATAAGTCTGAAAAGACCAAACATAAATTATATTGGTATGTTAACTGACAATGTAGCTTAATTTATTTCAAAATAACTCCTGTTGAGTTGCTTTTGTATGAAAATGGAATAATGATTGGCTCAGAAGTCCAAGAATCTAGTATTCCAAGTGATTTACAATTAGCCTTTTTCTAAGGCCCTGTCAGACTGCAGTATAAAAACCAGTTGTGTGACTTCCAGTAAGTATTTGAGTTTCTTTACCCAGTATTCAATTATCAAGATGTAATTTATGTCCCTTTTATACAGTGCTGATTATACTGGACCACTACACGTAATGGAGCCCGAGTTGTCCTAAATTATGAGTAGGGAATGCTAAAGCAAATAAAACCTAGTACCAAGTTAAATGAATGTGTTAGAATAGACTGTCTATGCTCCCTTCCCATTCTTAAGTGAGCTTGGCTTTTCCTGTGATGCAAAACACTTTCAGCAGAGTTGAAGAGCTCCCATATCTACCATCTGCTCAGGGTATTTAAATCACACGAATCCTCTATGCCCATAGTCTTGGAATTAATGTTCAACAGAAATATTTTGAGAAAACACAATGCTCCTTTTAATTCGCCAGGGATTAGCAGATTTGTGCTGAATCTCTGGAATTGCAGACTTGTCCAAATCACATTACTATGGAGACTGTGCCAGTTTCCATAAGGAAATTTTTTGCAAGTTCGGGAATTTTTGAAGCAACGTTCTGAGTGCAATTCAGTTTTTCATTAAAACATTTCAGTGTAGATGTCTGAAAGTGACCTAGGTGTATAAACTCCTCCTAAAATCAGAAGAGGCTAGAGTTTGATTAATTTTATTCAAAATCACCAAATACTCAGCTCATTTGCCCCCACATTGGTATTTAGTATCATTTGAGATGCCCTAGGTTGTCTCATCTGGCCTCCAGCTTTATTTCATGTGGTATACCGAACTATCTCTCTCCAGAAAGTCCTGTCTGTCTTTTTCTTTCTGACAGCTCCATGTAGAAGATGCCTTGGCTATCCTGGAGCATTTCAGCTGGCACTAGATACCTATGTGCTGGCAACTGCATCAAGCAGTCAGCAGCTTCATGTCTCAGGGGAGGCTGTGTTTGAGTCCTTACTCATCCTGGTTCAGACCAGAAACTTGAACTTGTGCCTCCCACAAAGCAAAAGTAGAGAGTACCCTTGCCGTGGTGCACCTGGTTACTATGGAGCTTAGTACATCTTTTATGTTGAGCGTTTTCATTTTGAATTAATCCTTGCAAAAGACGCATGAGCTAAGACTTCTGTGACTGCTGAGCTACAAAATTTTCAAGTTTTCTCTGATCTATTGAATGTTCAGCTAATTCCAAGCCTGTGCCAGAAGAGAGCCTGGTAATCTCTATAGTCTGATAATCAGGTGATTCCCAGGGAAGCGAAAGACTGAGTCAGATCAATTGCCTGAATCAGACAAAGCAGGTACATGAAGCTGAAAATGCTGTGTTCTAGAGGCACTTCTCTAGTACTATGCTTCTGCTCCATTCTGCATCTTCCTGTATTTAATTTAGTCCAATAAAGCACAAAGAAAGAGCTTGTTTGTATCCTCATGTAAAACAGGTATGGCTTTCTGAAATCTGAAAAAGTTTTGTGGGACAGAATAATTTCAGATAAAACATAATCATAATAACCACCCCAGTCTGTATTTCCGTATTGTTTTTTGCTTAATGCTGTTACCATTTGACTCTGAAATGTCTGGGACACCCATTGCTTGTTGCCTAAGGTTGCTCTGTATTATAATTTGTATCAGTTGCCAGAGGATACTTACTCAGGAAGAAGAGAAAAGAACTAACTGAGGCAAGAAGCAAAGCAGCAATAACAATTCAGTCTCACTACAGGGGATATAATGAGAGGAAGATCTTCGAAAGGAAGAGGTAGATTTATTTTCTATGTTTTATGTTACTCAAATGTTCCTTTCAGTAACTGCACTGCTGAAAAGCAGCTATATAAGATAAAAGTAAAGCAAATTAGGATTATTCTAGGTATGGATGCAAAAGTAATGTATATTTATGTGGAGGCTTTTAATGTCAGTAGCCAATTTTCTCATATTTTTAAGCCCAGGGAATAAAAGCATATTTGGAGGAAAGATCAACAATTTTGTGTTTACCTATAATGTTAATGTAATCTCTAGATTAGTATCTTTTTGGAAGTAGCTCATCATAAAAAATACTTGGACAGGAGTGAGAAATAGGTATGTGCAAGGAACTGTTCTTGTCATCTTAAGTCACTGAGATAAGTATAGGTGATGACAGCAAACTTGTTCAGATCAAACAGCTAGAAGTCAGGTGAGATGAATCACATTCCACATATCTCTGCAGTGTGGTTGTAGGACCAATCTCCGAAATGGAGGTAGCAGCATTTGCTCATCTCCGTTTTTTTCAGTGGTAGCATTTAAGTAGGTGGAGACTAGTCCAGGGAGGTGAAAAACAGTTGTGAAGGAGCCCAGAGTCTTTCAGAGGGAAGGAATAGGATGGCATTTCACCTAGCACTGAAGTGATATTGATCATAACAAAGACAGTTTAGGGAATAGGTCTTTTAAATTTGACCTGGACCTGTGCCCAGGATTGTTCTTTTTAGCATTTCTAGTGTGAGCGTAACTTGAAGCAGTTTTCTTTCATGAACACATTTAGGATTGTGTGTATTTATATATATTTGAGGTGCTTAAAAGTTTCTGCTTTATGTTCTTGTTAACTTTTAAATTCATTCTTTACTGTTTTATCCACCCTCATGTAGCCTAGATTGTCCCTCTAGCAATTTTCCATGAAGAGTTTATTGTCCCTCTAGCAATTTTCCATGAAGAGTTTAAGAGGGATGTCTCTTTTCACTTAAGAAATAATAATAATCAGAAAGACAGCAATTAGTTTGCTATCTTTAATTCCAGCTATATGCACTAAATCTTTCCCATGCTTCACTGTATCAAATTGCCATACAAAAGCACCACCAAAAGTAGTTGTAAAGTTGTCACTCTCTTTCATCTCCTTCAGCGATAAATTTTTGCCCTAAACTCTATTCCATTCAGGGAATCACTTAGAAAGAAACAAACTGAAAATGCAGCATCCATTAGTGAAAAAGATGAAAAACTTCAAGATAATGAGGAAAGTCTAGCTGGAGTGAAGAGAACCCTTCCTAAAACAGAAGAAGAAGCAGCTGTCATTGTTCAGAGCTATTACAGAGACTATAGGGTCTGTAAAAAAATAAATGAACAGCAGAAAAATATAGCAGAGGAAGAATTATCTGCAGTGGAATTCCTTGAAGCACAACTGCAGCCAGCTCAAAATGATATACTGGAAGAAGTAACAAATGAGGAAACTCAAGATGAAGCTGGTGTTATTACTGACAGTGAGTGCTCTGGGTCCAGTGTCACAGTGAATGCACAGGACCAACAGAAAACATTTACTGAAGGAGAGGGAGCTTCTGTGAAGCAGAACCCTGCAGTAGAAAATGTTGGTGAAGGTGAAGAGCAGGCCTGTTTGGAAGAGTTGTCCAACAAATCTGTCAAAATAGCAGCTGAACCTAGCCCCCAGCAAGAGCAAGATAATCGAGACAAACTCAGTGCAGATGGGCAAAATCAAGAATCTGCTGTGGTCCAGCCCAGGACTGACAGGGATGTGGAAAGAAACCACCTGAAACATGAAGCCGTGATGCCTACAGGATATAAAGGAATTGTAAGAAAAGAGTCACTAAGAGGCTCATGGAAGCAAGTTAAGGCAGAAAAACAAAGTTCTGAAGACCAAGAGAAGGCAGCAGTAGTTATTCAGAGCACTTACCGGGGTTACAGAAGGAGGGGACAACTCAGAAAAGAAGGGAAACTACCTTGCAAAAGTCAAGAGAAAACTGTAAAGGAGCCAACAGAAGCAGTGCTTGTTCAAAATAATAATCCCCAGACAACAAAAGATA